ATCCCTCACTTTCTGAAAACAACAAATCAAATTAACAACTGCAATAGAGGCGGCAGGCTGGAAGGGGAAAGCCACAGATATAAGCACAACTAAGGAGTTTGTGTGACGTGTACACACATACAGGTGTGTTTGAAAAAAAAATGAGTATGTTAGAAGTCATGTTCATCCAACCCCCTCTGGAAATTGTATGGAACAGAATGAGAGAGGAACCGAAGTGGTTTATTTAGATATAGCGAAGGTTTCCTGTCGGTGAAGTAATAACCGTAGCTGGACTAAATCAAGACCGGATGTCTTTCTAAACGATATGCTCTAGTTCAACCACTAGTTGTGGACTTGATGCAGAAATTATGGGTAAGGTTTCCTGGCCTGTCTCGTGGACTAGATAATCCTAGTGCTCCCCTGTGACCATGAAATCTATGAATCTACACAACTCCTTCACCTTAGGACCTGCGAGTGTACACAGGTGAGCGCACAGTTATCATCCAGTCCATTGGACGATCTCTCAAGTGATTCTAATACAGATTCTCCTTCCTTTCGACAGCAGCGGCAGACCCTCCCTCCACTGAGCTCAGAAAGCTCAGCTCTCGGCCTTCACTGAGCAGTCTCCCTTCTGGATTAAAATTACATTTTTTAAAGCTCTCAATCTCCACCTCATTAATTGGGACTGCTTAAAAATCCAGTGGCAGTTGTAATACCTAGGGGGAAGTTTTATGGGGATGCTCTGCTGGTGTGAAGCAAGGAGAGAGAGCAGGGCTGCCGTGGGCAGCTTGTCTAAGTAGTACCCCCTAGTGGTATTTCACATCCACCCTGGCCAGTCTTCATTTTTTAAATGCTGTTCAAGCAAGTCTAGTTAGTTAGTTACTGTACCAGAGCCTGCGTGGGTATAAATCAGGGGAAGAATCACCTCAGCAGGTCACCCCATGTTCAAGAAAGATGAATTTAAACTAGAACAGGTGCAGCGAAGAGCCTGTAGAATGATCAGGGGAATGGAGGGCCTCATCTTAGGAGAGGAAAGTGGAAGAACTTGGCTTGTTTAGCAAAAAGAAATCAGAGAGATAGGATTGCTCTCTATAAATACATGGGGAGGGATGGGGAGAGGGTAAATACCAGGGAGGATGAAGGGCTACTTAAGCTAAAGGACAGCTTGGCACAAGAAAAAATGGATATAAATGGGCCATGAACAAATTCAGGCTGGAAATCAGAAGAAGGTTTCTAACCATCAGAGGAGCGAGGTTCTGGACCAGCCTCCCAATAGGAGTTGTGGGGGCAACCAACTTAATTAGATTTAAGAGAGAGCTGGACAAAATTTAGGAGTGCAACTGTATGAAAGGGTTGCTTGTGATGGTAGGAGGCAGCCCCGGGGCTCACTTGCAGTTTATGTCTTATGCTCCTAAAGCTCATGCTTCAGGGTTTCAGCCAGCCACCTGCAGGGGTCAGGAAGGGATGTTTTCCCCAGCGTACGCTTGGAAGATTTTTATCTCTTTCCTCTGAAGCATCAGGAATGGCCACAGCTGGAGATGACATATTGGGTGGGACGGGCTCTGAGCTGGCACCGAGCGTTCTCTCTCTCAGGGGCTTGGCTGGTTAGCCCTTGCTCATATGCTCAGGGCCTAATTGATCAACAAATGTGGGTCAAGGAGGCATTTGCCCCCAGGTAGGCTTGGCAGTGACTTTGGGGTTTTTTCACCTTCCCCTGCAGCATGTTGGTGCGGTCACTTGCCAGATCTCATTTAATCATTTCCCTGATATTGTGGGTGCGCTGGACACTGGTGCCTCCTATTCTCTGGCACAGAAAAGTCTAGTCTCCTGAGGGCTGTGATACTTTGCTCTCATTCTGGCTTTGGGGTTTAGCATGCATGGGCTGGGAGCTGTTGGTGGCCTGTGACACCCAGGAGGGTCAGACTAGATCAGCTTAAACTCTGGGACTCTATTGTGATGGCCAAAGGAAGGGAAGGGTTAGTGAGGGTACAAAGGCCGCCTCTTAACTCCCAAACTACTCTGGCGGGAAGCAAGACACAGAGAGAAGGATATGGGACAGGCCAACAGTGAAAGAACAAGGAGAAGCCGCTATTAACAGCCTCATAACCCAGGACCTCAGCATAACTACAATAGCCTGCTATACTGAACAACAGCAAAGCCTTGGCGATAGTTTATTATAACACACATCATTAGTCCATTAACCTGTATGGCAGAAGAGCTAGGTCATGTGGTCAGGAGAGCCCATACTGCATTTATCTAAGGGCTGGTCTACACTGGGGGGGGGAGGGGGGATTGATCCAAGATACGCAACTGAAGTTGAAATATCTTGGATCGAATTACCTGGGGTCCAGACGGCGCGGGATCGACGGCCGCGGCTCCCCCGTCGACTGCGCTATCGCCACTCGCTCTGGTGGAGTTCCGGAGTCGACGGTGAGCGCGTTCGGGGATCGATATATCGCGTCTTAACGAGACGCAATATATTGATCTCCGATAGATCGATTGCTACCCGTCGATACGGCGGGTAGTGAAGACATACCCTAAAAAGCAGCTATAAGAAACGGCTAATTAAAATTTAGCAGAACCAAAAAGACACATATGCCTGCATTCCCTAGCTGACCTGATCAACTGAAAACGAATAATAGTAATGATAAATGCTTCCTGGAGATCACTGGAAAGGAAAGACCCTACTTTATCCATCAATCATAGCTCAGGGGAAAAGCTTTTCTTAGACACTGTAGGATGTCTACAACTACTTCATTATGGTAAGAACATACTTGGAAAACATTATGTTGTGTAGAAATCGTTTCTGTGCACAGCAGCCTCTGAGAGAGAGAGATTTAATAAAGCCACAGTCTTGCAAAGGGGTCTGCCCATGTAAAGCTCATTGCAGGTTTGGGGTTTAAGTCTTTTCTGGGGTTGAATTTCCGCTTTTGGCGGATTTCCGTTTTCCCCATTAACTTGCAGTACAAATGGACTTTTCACATGTTGGCTGCAGCAACAGTATAAGTTTAATCTCATCTACAGATCCCAGGTACAATGCAACTGAGCTCATAAATTCTAATGAGATCATTTCCTTTTCCCCTGGCTTATGTGAACACGGCAGTTTGCCCAAAGGTGACTCCAAACTGACTCCTAAAGATAAACTTGAGAAAATGTTGCTGGGCTTCACTTTTTCCCTGAAGTCATCTGAGCTTCTCTCTTGCCTCTAGGGCCTGGTGAAGGCGGAAGAATATTGGTGAGCCAGTGGAGGGAAGTGCATATGGCCACTGACCATGCTGTGCTTATTCTGCTATTTCAATGTCCACAGTTAACAACACAGCACCTGTCACCAGCACAAGATTCCCTTAAAATTGTTGAACCAGAAATGGGGGAAGGGCAGAACCATGCTGCCTATTTTGGGTCCTTTGAATCTTATTATTTGGACAGAGCTTTAACTTATTGGGGCTTCTCTTTTTCCACACTGTGTGGAGCAATAAAGAACAAGCAGCAAAGGAAAAGGGGAAGCACAGCAGATTAGCAGAGGACAGAAAAAGACCTGGGTAATTAAGCAGAATAATACAGCGGGTTGATTTCTTGCAAAAGCTAGTGGAGCACGAACACCTGACCTGAAACTATTAGACGCGGCACAAGGTTGAATGATATGCGATCACTCCACAAAGGGAAAGGGCCTTGTATTCAGGGCCTTTCCATCTACCTTTGATTCAAGGGGTTCCAAGATCTGCTGGTCCATTCTTCCAGGGGTTACTGGTGAATTGTGCCAGATTCCGTGTTTCTTTCCAACTGTTCTGAGTCTCCTGCATCTGATCTCAAAGAAGGGAGCAGAAACAGCTGGAAGAGAGAAACCAGAGTGGCATAGTCCAGCAGCAACCCTTGGAAGAACAAACAATAAAAGCCTTGTGAGATGTACCATTATTCCCCCAAATGTGTGTACACGTGTGTGTACCACCATGCTTCCATTACCATGAAATCTACCTTGGTCTTTGATCAGTGCCTTGGGACATCTCCTTGAATCACTCTGTCACCATACCAGCTCTAACTATGTAGACTTACATTTGAATGGCAAAACCACTGCCTATATCCTCCCTCCCACAATGAGCCACAAGTGTAAGATACAATGTAAATTCTGTATAGCACTAATACAATACAACTGCATCACATAATAGTCCAAAGGAGATTCTCACTGTGTACTCGCTAATGCATACAAGCGGCCATATTCTGCTGCTCTTACTCACATCAAATCATACCTTTACTCCATGAGTAATCCCACCTACTTGAAGAGTAACCATACCACTCAGTCTGAGTAAGGTTGGCAGATTCATGCCCATAGTGTTTAAGTTGCAATATACCACACAAGAGGCATCTGTAGGTTTAGTACACTAAGGAGTGGTGCCCGAACACGGGGAGAAAACAGGAGACCCAAGAAGTAAATTAATCAGTGAGAGCATTAAGTAACCTCTGGCAAGGAAGAGGAATGGTTGGGAGAAGAGACAAGTCATTGCATTTTGGACCAATTCAGGTAAGGAGAGATCGGGCTTAGAAAGACCACGATGGAAGGAATTAAAGCAAGCAAGATGACGGAAGTTGAAGGCACAAGTGAGTTTCAGCTGAAGTGTAGGAAAAATTGTGTATTTTAGGACTTATGGTTAGGAGGGAAGAGAAGTAAGGTGGTACAGACACAGAAGCCATTTAAGCCACAAGAGCTCAGAGATGACTACTTTACCTCACGGTAGGCATGATTGGGATCAATGGTGGCGATGGAAGTGGTAGAATTTGGCCTCCAGTTGACCTTCTTAAGTTAGAAGTCAAAGACAAGATGTACCTCACCTGAACAATAGCAACAGACTATCCCCAAAGCAAAGAGCACCACACCTAGACGTTCACAATTGCCCCTTCACCGCACGTCCACAATTACTTCTAGCCCAAACAGTGCCAATGTCCCCTCCCATATCACGGTAAATGGTTTATAATTCAGCAATGCAGCATCATGGAAGTGACTGTATGGGGAATAGTCAAACGAATACCTGAAGTATCACAAGTGTGCCTTTCCCTTGGTGAGTCTTTTTGAGGTGCACCGTGTCTGTAGACCACATGTGGCTTATTGTGCTCTTCTTCATACTCTTGGTCATCAGGGGATAGCAGCGGCTCTACAAAATAGTCCCCATCGTGAGACCTGAATGTGCCTAGCTGAGAGTGGAGAGAGACAGGTAGTCAGCTTCCAGTTGGAACATGCAAGAGACTAGGCCTACATAATTACCGTATAAAATGGACATGGGAACATGCAGAAGTTTCTAGGGCATTTACACTTCCTTACAATGTTCAGTTTGGCAAGCAACCCCTACATCTGCGGTGGCTGAAAGCTATGGGCCCAATTCTGCTACGTTGAGTAGCATTTTACTCTGTAGACTTTGCTCCCATTAAAACCAGGGAGATTATTCATGGTGTAAGTTACTACTCACCAGGAGTAAAATTCAGCCCTGTGTGAAGAGAGGACACATATTAGACCCAGTTCTTCCTTTGGATATGTTTGCAAAATTACTCCTGATCTCAATCGGAGATGTTGGAGTGCATCTTAGGACAGAGTTGGGCCCTATTATGTTCTGCCCTCTCTGTTTCTCATACATAAGATATGCCAAGAGCAACTCTGAGCGGAGACAAGCTGAGCATGGTATCGAGTGGCTTGATCCGGGAAAGAAACTCACCTGGTGAAGCTACTGCCTAGGAGAGACTATCAAAGCTTCTAGCCCACATGACTGCGGAGCAGGCCATGGGGAAAAAACGCCACTCCCAGGCAAATGTATGTCATAAGACAAAAAGGTAGAACCATAGAACCACAAGGCTAGAAGGGACCACGAGGGTCGGCTAGTCTGACCTCCTGCCAAGATGCAGGTACTCGAGCACGATCCCAGTTCTGAGCATCAGCTGCACCACCCCAAGGCACACGCGCCCTGGCCTCGTGCAAAGATCCACCTGCATCTCTAGGGCCAGGTGTGCTAGCAGCAGCCTGGCTGGGGCCGAAACGGGGCAGGCAGCAGCTGCACCCGGTTCTCCCTGGGGAACCCCTTTAACCAGGAAGTCTGTTGGTGGAGGCTGCCCAGGAGATGGAAGGTATCCGCAAAGTGCCCAGGCGCTCTGGCCAGTCTCCCACAGGTCCCCCCCCCCAGCAAGGATGGATCAGGATCATCCTTGGAAAGGCTCCATACTCATGGCTAAGCCCAGCTCCCAGGGAAGGAGCCTCAGCTCAGGGGAAAGCAGCCAGACAAGCCCTCCTCCCCCCAGCCCCCCGCAAGCTTCCTGCACAACTGTTTGTGTTGTCTCCTTCCCCCCTCCCCCCACCCCCACCGAGCTGGAGCTGGGAGGATGGAGAAGGCGTCTTGACATTTCCTCCGGCCTCCTTAAATCCCCAGCAGACCTGGCTTGGGGCTGGCAAAGTGCCTCGCACCTCCTTAAGGTCGTCCCCGGGAAGGGAGGGAGAGCTCTTAAGGCGGCACGCTTGACCGGTGGGGTGGGGGGTCAGGGGAATTGAATCCTCCCCTCCCCCATCTCAATCTGGGGAGTGGTTCACAGGTGTGCCGGGGGGGTGCAAACACCCCCAGGCCCAGTCCTGCGGCCAGGGCATTGCCTGCTCCTGGGCTTCCTTGCAGCCCCCCCCCACCCAGGCTCAGCACAACAACAACAGGGGACGCTGCTGGGAGCGCGCAGCCCCCGGGAAAGCGCCGGGGGGGGGCGGGGGGCTTTGCAATGGGACTCCCCAGCAGCAGCTCGGCCACCCTGGTGAGTATGCTGGATCCCGGCTGCCTGCTCTGGGGGGTTTCTCTTCTTTCCCACTGAATGGGGGGGGGGGGAGATAGAGCTTGCAGGACTGGCCCCCGCCCCCACTGGGTGGCCGTTTTGCCAGGACTGGGGACTGAAGGGGGGTTGCCTCACGTGGAAGTTTGGAGACACCCCCCCCCCCAGCATGTGCAAGCTCTGCCGGGGTTTGGGGGGGGGTGTGCCGCACTAGCACCCCCTGTCCTTCTCTCCACGTTGGGACAGACGTGGCTTAACCCCCCCCCCCCCGTTGAGAGCGCCCCCCCCCATCTATTTAGGGCAGAGCTCCAGGCCAGACCTTTGCAACCCCCCAAGTCAGCCCGGCGCGTCTGCGGGGCGAAAAGCTAACCGGGCTGGAGCGGCCCGCTCTGCATTGCGGGGGGGGGCACAGAAAGGGGGCCTCGCCCCCGAGTGCCTTGCTCCACCTTAACTGCGGCTAGGCACCAGCTCGTGTGGCGAGCAGCCCCCGGGGTGACCCCACCTTCTTGCTTCCGCTCGGTGCTCCCGGACCCCGGCGTGTGAAAAAGCCCCGGCCCCTGGTGACCTCCAGAGAAAACAGGGCAGCCCCGGCTCACATGCCGCAGCGGGGACCCAGCTGTGGCCTTCAGTTACTTCCATTGCCACCGCAGCCCCAGACCCTGCTGGAAGGGGCGAGCCCCTGGCAAGCTCGCTCAAGCTCGCAGGGGAGAGTGCGGCGAGCTCCTGGACATCCGCCGTCCCGCAACTTCCCTGCGGAGCCGAGCCGCAGGAGGCGATCCTGGAGTGCGAGAGACCCATGGCAAAGAACTCCGCAGCAAGGTGTTTCGTGTAAACATAAAACACCTGGGAGATACGGAGTTAAGACTGGCTGCGAAGCGCAGACCTGGAAATCCCCAGAGGCAGCGAAGAAAGAAGGCGGAGGGGAAGTCACTTACCATCCCTGAACACAGGCTGATGACCGCAGTGTGCTGGGGCTGGGTATTCACATGTCCTCTATAAAAACAGTGCTGTACGTCGCTGGCCTCCTCGCTGTAAAACCTGGTTTGGTTAACCCCCGGGGCTCCGAGGAGGCTGACCGTGAAACGTGGCGCAATAAATCCAGAATGGGCCGTGAGGTTGAACAGAAACTGCTCCCCAAAGGCGGAAAGCCGGTAGTGTGCGGAGGAGGAGTCGGTGGCCCAAGGGTCCGGGTCAGGGTTAATACTTCGTCTCTTTCGTTTGAAGTGTACGTGCGTGGGAAAGGGGGCTCCGAATTCGTTCACACGGGTGGGGGTGACGATCTCGAACTCGCGTAGTGTCTCCAGCACTTGGGCTGCAAAGAGTAACAGACACATGCCCGGTAAAGAATCGCTCTCTCGCTCAGGTCAGGCAAGGCGTAGCTTTTTCCCCACACACTTATCTTGGATGAAAGCAGCCAGGCCTGGCTTTCTAAAGTTGTATCTAGCAAGGGGGGGAGGATAGAGGTAGCTATCCTTACCAAACAAATCAATGCACCACTAGGTTGCCTGCAACAGACACGGGTGGTGAAGTAGTGGTACTGTATCTGCCTTGCAGGAGCACCTAGAGACTTTAATCTAGACCAGGACCCCTGCAGAGCTAGGCGCTGTACACACAAAAAGGCAATCCCTGCCTCCAGCAGGACAAGAAGAATCCTTAGCTTTTCTATAACCCCCCCAGGGACTGCCAGTTGCCCAGACCCTGCACCCTTGCTCCACTTCAAATGGGTTTCTAACCTCAGGCGATTTGCAGCTTCAGAAAGGTTTCAAGGACATGAAGACCATGTTCAGCGGCTTCTGCCCCCCTGCCCTGGGGGCCCCGTGTTTTCCCAGCCTGAGAAAGGCGCACAACTTTTTAAAGTTCTTGTAAAGGATGACTGAGGGCAAGCCCAGGGAAATCCATGAAACGGAGACTGCAGAGTTGTAGAAATACCCCCCCCCCATGTTAAAATGAGGTCTAAGAAACAGCCCACAGACCTGGAAACTTCCCTGAAGGAGCTCTGGCTGCCCAAAGCATCTTCTTACCTTGTCTTGGCTGCAGCTTCTGCTTCCGCGCTGCTGTGGGGGCTACATTCAAGGCGTCCTGTAGAAAGAGTGTTCCTAGTCCCAGTGCCCATAACACAAGCTGCATGGTGGTGTGAGCTGTTCCTTAGCAGAGAGCAGCCTCCCCCCCCCCCCCTTTTAATCCCCCCCCCCCCCCCCCCCCTCGCTCCCGCTGCTCCCCGGAAAAAAGAAAAACTTCAGCGCTCCCCCCCCCCCACTTCACTTTATTAAAAGTGGGAACCGCTCGCATCCGATTTGTTCCCCCTGGGCTCTGCTGTGACCACAACTGCCAGTGGAGAGAAGATGAGCAGCGGCAGCAGGAGGACGAGGACTAATCGCGCACGGGGTATCGGATACACCAGCATAGTGTAGTGAGAGGGGCTCGGGAAGCGCCTACTGCACTTTTGGTGGGCTGCTTTTTCCTCTCTCTCCCCCCCTTCTAGCTGGTGCCCTCGGAGTTCTTGGGAACCAGTTCAGGAGACCGGAGGGGGGCGGTCTCCGGCAAAGCAAATGCCCAGAGCCCGCCTCTGGAGGAGGGCTCCTCCCTGCTTTCTTAGCATGTCACTTTCTTCCCCTCCAAGGAAGCTTTTGCTTCTGGTTTTCCAGGAGAAAAGACCTTGTCCGATTCAGTACCTAGGCCAGGACTCCTTTCCCTGGGAGGAGGGAGAGAGATTTACAAGAAGCTGAACACTGCAGCAAGAATCTCACTGAACTAAACTCTACCACTGTACTTTGTTCCCTGTTGGGCACTTCCCCCCCCTTCTCAACTTAAAGCTGCCTCATCAGGAGAATCTAATGATTCCTTGAATCTTATTTGTACTTCTACACCTAGTGACTTTGGATTTCTGAAAATATATGCCGCTCTTATAGACTTGGATCAGTTCATTTCTCCAGGAATGAATAGTTCATCTGAAAAAGAAACACTATTCAATGCATTCAAAGGAGTGAGAATGAGAGCCTCTCTCTTTAAAAGAAATAAAAACAGCAAAATGAATGTGGCAGCACCCAGACCTTGTAAACTAACTAATCTTTTTACTTTTGTTTATTGAAAGTACAAGAACTTTAAAAATTCAATTAACTTGCCACTTTTGGTGCTATTTGTTTTCTTGTGCATTTCTCAGAGTTAGGACAATTAAAATCGGTGATATGGCCCAGTTTTGTGTATAGTCAGTTTCATTTCGGCAGTGCCAAACATTACACTGCCTCTTTTTTTTTTTAATTCAAAATATTTCCATTGATCTTAAGTTTTATATAAAAATCTAGTTTAAATTGTGCTCCATATTTAAATTGAGGTGGTCCCTTTAATTTTTTCCCTGTTTTCAGGAAGGGGAAAGATACTGTCAGATTTCAAGGCTTCTAATCAAATGAAAAGCAAGTTACTTATGATCTCTCTAGCACTTTTAAACTACTTTACTCTCTGTGAACTTGGAGCAAAAGTCACCAGACTTTACATAATGAGTATGAAGACCAACAAATTGTCCCATGCAAGGATATGCATGCTATGTCTCTTTAAATCTGTCACCCAGGCCAGCTGGGGTGGGGACATGTTCTAGGCAAGTCTACAGTGATGCTAAGAAAGAATGGCTTTGTAGTTCTCAAAGTTCCTTGTTCAGCATTAGAAGGCAGCGACTCTTTCTGCAGTTCGTTTAATTGTCGATGGCGTAGCAGGCTAGCAGAATGCAGACCTTTGTCAGAATAGCTGAACTGGAGTGTTCCTCCACGAATTGAATTGCCTCAGTCTTGCATCTTTGCCTTATTTGCTTCTCTTTCTGTAAATCGCCTATACAACATGCATCTGGATGTACCCACAGTTAATTGATTGTGCATGTACAAACAAGTTAAAATAAACCCTCAAAATAGGAAAGAGACCAAACCATTCTGAAATAACTTCAAGCTGCTGGGCCCACTTGGCGTTCGACGCAAACCCGCTGTTTGTGCGTGTTTTCGCCTGGCTTTTAGCAAAAGTGGGTCACTGCAAGTGGGCGGAGTCACCACACTGGACCGTGCACTTGTGAAGGCTTGAAAAGTCACCCCACCTGGGGCTGGTGTATGACCAAAAAGGGAATCTGAAAACAGCACTACCTGGAGTCCCAGACTGAGGTTTCTCCGCAGGCCCTGTCTGCTCAATCAGTGAGTCAGCAAAACCTGCTTAACCCTTTCACAGCAGGAGCAACACCTGCTAACCAAGTGTGGGGTGTCAGGCAAACACTACCAGCCTGTTACAGTCACCATGTGAGTTTCCTGAATTCCCCCTGTCATTGCAGGAAACCACCATGCCTGTGAATGACAATACATTTTCTTGGTATTGTGTCAGTCTGAGAGAAATACTCTTGGCCAGCAGCTTGGGACAAATGGAAGTGCTACCTGGGCAGGTAACAAAGGGTATGTCTTCGCTGCAGCGTTCACTCGGATATTGCCCTCGGCTCCCCCACCTGCCCTGATAGGCTGACCAGATGTCCCGATTTTATAGGGACAGTCCTGATATTTGGGGCTTTGTCTTATATAGGCTCCTATTACCCCCCCCCACCCCGGTCCCGATTTTTCACACTTGCTGTCTGGTCACCCAATGCCCTGAGCTTATTGGTGCTTTCGTCCCAGGTTAGCTGGCCCAGTTGGGGCTATAGGCTGAAACCTGGGTGTTGCTTTCACTTGGGCTAGAAACCTGCCCAGGTTGCCGTGAGGCTGCAGTTACTCAAGTGCTGATAGCAGCGTTGGTGCTAGGATATGAGAGAGACAAGGTGGGTGAGGTCATCACTCTCACTGGCCCAACTTCTGTTGGTGAACTAGAAGAGGTGCTTGGTGTAGCTCGAAAGCTTGTCTCTCACCGACAGACATTGGACCAGTAAAAAATATTACCTCCCTCCCCCCCACCGTGTCTCTCAAGAGCTGATAGTCCTCCACTGTCACCCCACAATTCCCCCCCGCAACCCACCTCATGTGCCCAGAAGGACAGTTTCTCCCACAATTCACAGGGAAAGAATCATAGAGCAGTGCAAAGAACTCTCAGCCACGCCCCTGGAAAAGTCCTAGGGTCGGCGACACGCCTGGGGGAGTGCAGCGCCAGCGAGTGTGGCTTTGCAGCTGTCTGCTCACACCTAAGCTAGGCGAACGGGGGGGCTTAGCCCAGGGTGCAGATCACCACAGTTAACTCCGCATTCCCAGCATCTCCCGATTCCTCCTCCCCAGACAAAGAGAATAGGGGAGGCTGGCTGCAGGTGCTGAGCGACATCAGGCTGCCAGTCAGCAACACAAATAATGTCCTTGTGAAAAGGGGAGAGCCCATAGCAGTGCCCTGCTGAGTACAGTTCTGTTAATCAGAGATTGGGGCTGTAGCCACTATTATTTGTATCACAGTCGTGGCTCAAGACCCCATTGGGCTAGGTGCTATAAAACAGTGTTTCTCGACCTTTTTGATACCAGAGACCAGCTTGCTGTCTCCCTAAACTCTGTCAGGGAGATTTCAGGGACTGGCGCCAGTCCATGGACCGGTTGTTGAGTAACACTGCTATACAACACATAGTAAGAGAGAGTCCCTAGCTCAGAGTTTACGGTCTACATAAACAAGACACAGGGGTGGGAGAAAACCAGTATTATTTCCATGTTACATATGGGAAACTGAGGCACCGAGACCCCCTGGGTTTGTCTATACAGAAACTCAGTGCACGGCAAGCCAGCATGTGAATCTACAGGGCACTAACTGGCTGCGTGGAGCCTGCTACCGTGCACTAAACTTTCCATATTACTTTCAATAGTACATCAAACCCTACTGCAGAACTGGCAGGGTCCACATGGCCAGTTAGTACACGACAAACTAGCGGCTGTAGAGTCACACTCCAGCTTGCCGCGCGATAAGTCACCATGCAGACAAGCCCTTAATGATTTGGCCCAAGTCATACCATCCATGGCAGAGACCTGGGAATAGAACCCAGAATTCCTAAATCCCAGTGCAGATCATTTACAAAACAACCAGCCGAAACCCATAGGAGTGACAGAAGCAGAGATGGTAGGATCTAGGGTTTGGAAATTAAGAGGGAAAGGTGAAGACATATATACACAGATCCATAGACTTTAAGGCCAGAAGGGACAATCATGATCATCAACTCTGACCTCCTCCACATCGCAGGTCAAAGAACCTCACCCAACCACTCCTGAAATAGATATTAATAAGCCCCCAATTACTGAAGACTCTGAGCAGGAGACAGGAAAATTGGAAAGAGGAGTAATAAGGGACCTGAAAAAAGGAGAGAAAAATCAAGATTGTATCATAAATTGCTAAAGCAAATTATTTGCTCCCTTGGAGAATTTTACAATCCTTTTTTTTATATTTTTGGGGTTAGAAATTATAGGATACAATTTCAAAGGGACAAAATTTTAAAACACATTCTAGCAGTGGTATTAAAAATCACAATCTTGCATTCCTGCTGTTCTAATCCATTCCAGTCCCCTTCCTGTTCAAGGCAAGAAATGCCTCCCATGATGATAAATTATTTTGAATTAAATTTCAATGTCATTGGAAAAAGCTAAATAATTTAACACTAAAGTTCAAACAATACATGTTAATCATCCCAGATGATCTGTGTTCTGTGCTTAAGCCCGTATACAATCAGATGCAGAATGGCATTAAAGTTCATCTCTCATTCTGGGAGGTGTGGTATTTGCCTATTTAAAATGTATTTTTATTGGCATTTGGATAATGTCAAATAAGTTGTATATGGTTCATCATTCTGAATAGTTACTGCTGTGGACTGGGAAATACAGCAGGAAAATCTTAGTATAAGTGAATAGATGCGCAACAACTGAAGGAACTAAGCCATAAATACAAACTCAGCAAAACACTTTCCTATCAGGGAGGATCTGTTACTACTTACAGCATGCAAAGTCTCTACACCCAAAGAAATCACTAAAGGCCCAAACCTACACAAGCAAAAATCCTGTGCGACAGTGGGAATTTTGCCTACATAAATACGGCCAAAAAAATCAAGCTGTAATTGCTTGATTTATGGAGCGAAAGAGCACTTAATCACCACACACAGACAGTACAGTATCTCAGGGAACAAATGTAGGTTTAAGTAGAAAACTCTTGGGGACACCAAACT